GCTTCTCTTGCTGAGGTAACCCTGGGAGGGCCAACTATCCCATAGCTTGTCACAAGAAAACCCGTTCTTCACGTATTTCAGATCCAATCCTATTTGGAATGCAATATTCAGCTTCCAGGTAAACTATGCACACACACACACACACAGAGAGACAATGGGAGGGGGTGTTATTAAAAATTAACCCTGTCCCTGACTACTGAGCTTGAGTTTCCTTGTGCCTGCTTCCCTCTGGGGAAACCTGGGAATTGCAACTCTATGCTGAAGGGCCCTCAAGGGGAGTGGAGGGTTTTAGTGTTGGGAGTCCCCCCACTAGGCCAGGGCCCCAGAACGACACAGAACTTGGGGGACAGGAGGCAGGGGTGTTGGAGGTTTTGATTTCCACAGTCACGGCCACCTGGAGCCCCAGAGGTGGGTATGGGGAGGGCCCTTGGCAGGCAGGGGTGTGGGGGAGGTGAAGAGGAGACTGGAACAGGACAGGGCAGGTGGACATTGGAGGGCACCTGTGTGGGTCTGCGTGGGACCCACGATTCTGGTGGCAGAAGTGCTCAGAGGTTGTGATAGCAGAACTGCCTCAGAGGGCGACAGGCGGGACCAAGCCACCAGCGGATGGTTGCCTGCCGCCAGCTCTCGTGGAGGGGCGCCGGCCACCACCTGGACGACAGACAGTGGAGCACCTGGCGGCCATGAGTCACTGGGGGGGGGGGGGTCAAATTAACCAGATTTTTCAGCGCGGATACACACTTCCTGTGGAGGCAGGTTCTCAAGGCGCGGGCGAAGATGTTTGTAAACAATAAAAGTGCAATTCAGAGGTTGCCGCTGGGGGTGAGAACAGCGAGGCTTAGGAAGAGGCTGGGCGGCTGGAAGAACCGTCCTGTCTTGGCCTGGCCACTGCTCTCCCTGTCCCCGCCGTACATGCCCCCTCCGAAGCCACCCCCGGAACGCGCCGCGGGCGAGTTGAAGGACGAAGGGCGACAGCAAGGCAGGAACTGGGTGCCCGAGCGGTGTGAAATCGTGCCCGGCAGCTCTGACGGCCAAGCGCGCGGAGGGGGCCGTGCGCGGCCGGGGAGCGGAGCTCCGGGGCCGGCCCCGCGCCCAGCCCTCAGCGCCGCCTCCCCGGAGGAAGGCGGGGGCCGGAGGAGGGAGCCGCAGGAGGCGGAGGGCGGAGGAGGGCGGCGCGCTGAGAGGTTATTTGTGGTTCGCTTTGATCCCGAGGGGGAACCTGAAACTCTCACATTCCTGGCATAGCAGCCGCCTCCAGCGCGGGCCGACCCTGAGGCTGCGCGCTGCGGCCGGAGCGGCCAGAGCGTCGGCGCCACCGCCGAGTGCACACCTCCGCCGCGAGCCGGGCCGAGCCGAGCGGGGCCGGGTCGTCGGATCGGACTGCGCCAGGCGCCCGCGGGCCGCAGCGGTAAGGAAGGCCGCTTGGCGCTCGGGCCAGCGCGCCAGGCCGACCGCCACGCTCCCGGGCCGAGGCCCGAGGTCCCGCGCAGCCCGGCCTTTTCCGGGAGCGGAGCGTCCTCGGGGCGCAGCGCACCCTTTCCAGCCCGCCCCAGTGCCGGGTTAGGGCCCCTCCTGGAGCCGCGCTGTGCACCCTGGGGGGGACTCTTAAAGGCGTGCAGGTGCCCGGGCTGGGGGAGGGGGCCGATGACGGGGAGAACTGGGTCGGTGTTTGGGGTGGCGGGGTCGGACTAGGCGGGACGCGGGACTTGGCCGCAGGCGCCGCTCGGAGTTCCAGTTGCAGGGCCTTGGGGGCTGGCTTGGTTAGGTGGGGGCTACAGGTGTCTTTGACCCCTTCTTCCCCCGGCAGCCCAAGAATTCCTCTTTGTCTTCCTTGGAAAATCCTCTCTGGAGCCACGAACTGGCTCTCACTTAGAAAGAATGCAGCCTGCTGTCCAGCCCGGTGACGTCAGCGCTGGAGTATTTGGAAAACAAAGAGGGCTCGGGAGGGAGGAGGGGGCGGGTCCGCGACGCTTAAAGACCTCTCCCCTGGTCCCCCCCACCCCCCCACCGCCGGGTTCCCAGAAGGCCGCGGCCGGGAGCCCCGGCAGCCCCGGGCCGGTGCGACGTGACTTTAAGACGCCGTAGCTTTGGCTTCTCGGGCGATGCGCGCTTGGAAAGGCAGCTTTCAGGGAGCGAGGAGGCGCGCGGGCGCAGCCGGGGTGGGGAGAGCCGATCTCAGCGGCGCGGTCCTTAGGGGCCTGAAAGGATGCTCGAGTGAGGGGCGATGCCCCTATTCTAGCTCCGCGCCGGGACAGGCGCACCGTTGGCGCGCCTGGAATCTGTGGCGAAAGCTCTGCCTGCCTCCTCGCCGCGGGGGGGCCGCCTCGGCGGAGTCCGCCCAGACGGTGATTAACTTAGGGAATGTCCGCAGCTGAGCTGCTGGCGAAGTGACTCCCAGCGGCTGCTTTTGCCCCTGGGGTTGAGTGCCTGGGAGGCTGGGCACCGAGGTGTCCACCCGGCGCACCCCCACTCGCAGCTCTGGGCAGCTGGAGGCCAGGGGTTGGGGGAGTGGATCAGGAAAGGCTGCTCTCCCGCGGTGTCGAGCCCCAGCCGAGGCAGGGCCCCGGGACTTGGGTCTGTGGCCGAAGACGGGGCTGCATTGCAGCCCTCTCCACACGAGCAGGACCTGTGGCAGTGAGTGTTTGGTTTGGCATTCCCTGAATCCCAGTTTGGAGGTTTGTGTTGGAGGAGGCCGTGGAAAGGAGGCTGGGTGAGGGAGGTGGGCCGCCTTCCAGGCCGGGAGCCGCTCCCTGGGAGCCCAGGCTTACAACAAGGGAGCACCTTCTTTGGACCTTGTTCACCCTTGAGGCTCACAGCCCGCAGTCTCAGCTGCCTACAACCAAGAACCTCCTCCTTGCTCCCTTCCGCCTCCAGGCAGTGGGTGTAACAGGTGGACAAGGATGCTGTGCGCCTATCTGAGAACAAGCAGAGGCTTTTCCAAGTGGGGAGTGGAGGGTGCAGGGCTGGCTGATCCTGAAATCATAGCTGCCATGCCATCCTTTCCCGGCTCTCTCACACAGGGACCAGGCGACCCACCACTAACCTGGCTAAGCACCACCTTTCTTCCGTCCCACCTTATGAAACCCTTGTCTTCAGGCAGGCTTTCTTTTCTCATCCCCTCCTTCACCAGCTCGGGTGCAATTTCTCCTTCTTCCTGTTCACCTTGCGGAATACCGGCCAAGGGCATCCTGTGCCTGGGAGCTCCAGTTCTGTTCTCGGAGCAGCCCTTGGTGAAGCAGAGCTGGGTTGGGGGTGGGGGCGTTGGGGGTGTGTATGTCTGTGCTCCAGGAGCTCAGGGAGAGGGAGAGGAGTGGATGGGGGGCTCGGTGCTGAGGGTGGTAGGTTGAATGCCCAGCCCGGGCTGGGCTCAGGCCTGCTGCACTGGGCATTGACTGCCGAGGGCTTCTGCCGGCCTGCTGTCATCGGCAGCAGCCGGGGCCCTGCCTCCTTCTGCATGGGTCACTTAGATCTCAACTAGGGTGCCCTGCAGTGGCTCATCAGGCTGTTGGATGGGTGGCCTGCTGCCAGGGACCATGGTTCCTGGCCTTAGTTTACTATTGTCTTTCTTTAGGCATAGTAAGTCTCCATGAGAAACATTATAATGGTAGCTGTTTGCAAAGGCTCTGTGGGGAGCCAGGAGCTCCACAGTCCTTGTCCCTTTACTTCCCAGCTCCATGAGGCATTTTCCTGGTGGTTAGGTAACTTAATTAGCAGGTGGCAGCATTATTGCACTTGCATCCAGGCTTGTGGGATCAGCCCCCAACCTCTCCTTGGGCTTTAGCTCCTGCTTTCCACTTCTCTGTGATGGAAAGTGCTCCCCCTGTCCCATGCACTGTCGCTGATTGCTCTTCTCTCTCTCTCTCTTGCCAGGTGCTCTGGGGCCAGGTGCCACTGGCCACTGTCCAGGCAGGTGTGTGCAAGCCACAGAATCATGAGGACGCTGGAAGATTCCTCAGGGACAGTGCTGCACCGCCTCATCCAGGAGCAGCTACGCTACGGCAACCTGACTGAGACCCGCACGCTGCTGGCCATCCAGCAGCAGGCCCTGCGGGGTGGGGCCGGAGCTGGGGGCACAGGGAGCCCCCAGGCCTCCCTGGAGATCTTGGCACCCGAGGACAGTCAGGTGCTGCAGCAGGCCACGAGGCAGGAGCCCCAGGGCCAGGAGCACCAGGGCGGTGAGCCCCACCTGGCAGAGAACACCCTCTACCGGCTGTGCCCGCAGCCCGGCAAGGGCGAGGAGCTGCCCACCTATGAGGAGGCCAAGGCCCATTCGCAGTACTATGCGGCGGCCCAGCAGGCGGGGCCCCGGGCGCCCGTCGTGGTCGTCGGGGCCCCTGGAGGCAGCCGGCGGCAGGATGAGGCCCTGCGGGAGCTGAGACACGGGCACGTGCGCTCCCTGAGTGAACGACTCCTGCAGCTGTCCCTGGAGAGGAACGGCGCCCGGGCTCCCAGCCACATGAGCTCCTCCCACAGCTTCCCGCAGCTGGCGCGCAGCCAGCAAGGGCCCCTGGCCAGGGCGCCCCCTGCCGAGGGCCCCGAGCATCGTGGACCCCCGCCTCAGTACCCACACATAGCCCACGAGACCGCAACCACTGCTGTTGCCGAGCCTCGGTACCGCGCCCGCGGCAGCCAGCACTTTCAGCACGCAGAAGTCAGGTAACTAGCGGCTCCCACCTGGCTCCCCTACCCGGGGAGGCCGGGCTCACACCTGAGCTGGAGCTGGCAATGCCCCTCCCACCCCAGCCCCGCCTTTCCTGAGCGGGGAGGGCCTGGCTGAGGTCACAGAAGGAATCCATGGCATTCCTTGCTTTAATTCAGAGCTGGACACCATTGTGTGCTTTGCTGTGACTCAGGTCCCCAGGGGATGCGGAGTGCAGCAGGCGGCTAAAGGTTAGGTTTCAGAAAAACTTGCTGAAGACAAAGGTTGGGAGTCCTTGCCAGACTGTTTCCAAGTAAAGTGGGAAGAAAGGGCACCCTCCTTCTCTGGAGGCTTTTTGAGAAAAAGTAGACAGCTTGCTTTCTACCGTGATCGGTTGTCGCTGGTGACCGGAGGCTGGAAGGACCCGGTGGGCCTCCTTAGCTACCGTCTCCACTGTTCCTTGTCTGGGTCCAGGAGAGCCCCTTTCTTCGGAGCTCAGGAGAGGCTGCCGGGCAGGGCAGGGACCTACAGTTTGGTTCTAAGGCCATTCCAGGATGGGATTTGGTTTTGCTCTGAAAGCCTTCTCTCTGGCTGCCTGCAGAGAATAGCTTGTAAGGACCAGAATGGAAGCTGAGAGGCCAGAGGGAAGCGGGTGGGACGTTTGCACAAATGGGGGACCCTGGGAACGAGGCTCTGGCACCTGCAGAGGAGCTGCTACTCCCCTACCCACATGGGAGCCAGGAAGCACCACCAGAGGGGCTTGAGGATTCTTCTGCTCTGGTGGCTCAAGGTCAGAAGTCTGCTTCTCCTCCCGCCTGCCTGCTGAGTCTTTGTTTAGTCACCCACTTTCCCACTGTTTGGGCTTCCTGAGAAAGATGCCTGATGTGAGGGCGCCAGAGCCTGCAGCCTCACCATTTTCCCCAGGCCCCACCCATCCCTACCGCCCCGCCCCAGACCCCCCCACCCCCACCTTATCTCCCTTCTCAGGCCTCAGCCGGGAAGAATTTCGGAAGCTGAGTTGAGGTTTCTTCTTTGGGAACAGCCTTCTTGAACCCTGTCAGGAAAAGATAATATCACGCGAGGAAGTGGACTGTTTGCAGAAGAACAAAAAGGGAGGGGGAGGGGAGGGGAGGGGAGGGGACAGCAAGTAAGCAGGGCAGCAGAGGCTTTGTCGTTCGCTCGTGCTTTCTCCCCCCCCCCCCCCTCGTAGCCAAGTCATCCCAAGGCAGGCCACTTGGCTGTGCCTTGCCTGGTGCATGGGGAGCGAGTGCCTGCAGCCACGCTGAGCCTGGCCATGTGTCATGGGGAAGGGAGAGTGTGGGTGTCCTAGTGGGGACCCTGTCCCCAGCTCCCATGGGAAGCCCTACAGGTAGAAGGAGAAACTCCCCAGCCCAGCCTCTCCTTTGGGCTGATCTGATACAGGTTACTTGTTGGACCGAGGGGCAGTGGCTGTTTATTGCTTAGCCTAGGGTCCTAGGAAGACCACGGGAGCCATGGGCTCTTGTGGTGGTGGTGGTGGTGGGCAGGGGTCCCGGGAGTGGACTTAAGTTCTCATGGGCCTTCTGCAACTTGGGGAGTTCCTCGGGCCGTGGAGGCAGGTGTGCCCCTTGGAGCCACACAACCCTAGCAAGGTGCCCCTGTCGCCGTGGTCTCTGCTGTCTCAGCCCTGAGGCTGATAGGGTGCGGGTACCAGGGGCTAGTCTCACTGTCCCTGAACACATCATCCAGAGGTGGCCCCACTCCCACAAAACTCAGGGTGGGCGGTCCCCTGGAGGCTTTAAACTGGGACTCAGCTTCTGGCGAGGCGGAGGAGGGGCCATGGCCTGGAGTGGGTGTCTCTGCAGTGCTGTGCTGGCCTGGCGTCCCCCGGGACAGGAGTGCCGGACAGAGGGGCCCAGGCACTTGCCCAGTGTCCAGCTTGAAGCCCATCTTGTCTCCCTGTGTGGGAGACTCTGGAGCTCAGACTTTGCCCCTGACAGCTGTCTCGCCACTCGAACCCTAACCAGGGCCTTCTGAAAATGTTGCTGAGGAGGCAACAGGACCTGCCCAGAGAGGGAGAGAGCTAGGGTGTGCTGCTTTGAACAGCGGCTGGAGGCAGCTGCAGAGGCCCCGTCACCAGGTGGTCCAGCATCCACGTGGCCTCTGAACCCGAAGAGCCCCTTGCACCGATGAGGAGGGTCTGGGCGCGAGTTTTAAGATGCCTCATGCAAACCCTTGTTGCTTAGGAGGTTCGGGATGGCTTTGGCTGATCCCCGAGGCCTCGGCCACGGTGAGGCTGGGCATGAAATCAGCATCCGACAGTAATCCCTTCAGCCCTGCTCTCCAGCCCTTGCGGGTCGCAGGCAGACGCCGCATGGACAAGGCCGTCCTCACTGGCCCCAGCCCAGCGGCAGCCTCAGTAATTCCTTGTCTTCCCAGTCTGTGCGGCAGTCACCGCGTGTGGGCTCTGAGCACCGTCTTCTTCTGTCGCCCAGGATCCTGCAGGCCCAGGTGCCTCCTGTGTTCCTCCAGCAGCAGCAGCAGCAGTACCAGTACCTGCAGCAGCCCCAGGAGCACCCCCCGCCCCCACACCCAGCCACTCTCAGCCATGGCCCCCTGGGCTCCCTCAGCGCCCCTGGGGTGGAGGTGCCAGCGAGTGTGCAGGCGTCGTCGGCCGCCCCGGGCGGTGCCCAGCTGGAGAGCGTGTTGCGGGAGAATGCCAGGTTGCAGAGGGACAACGAGAGGCTGCACAGGGAGCTGGAGAGCTCGGCAGAGAAGGCTGCCCGCATCGGGAAGGTAGGTGCTGCCCGAGGGGCCCCTGGAAGGCAGAGCAGCATGGACGCCTGCCCTGGCTGGATTTCTCTCCTGTTAGCTGCCGCCCCCTCCCGGCTCCCCCAGCCCTCCTGCGCCCTTCACGGCTGACTCCAGACAGCTGCGGAGCAGCCCTGGGGCGGGAGCAGTTGCCTGGCCCGTGGTGCTGAGAAAGAGCCCATTCAGGGCCCCTGCACACGCGCACCCTGGGCCTGCACCCCCCCTCCCGCAGACACCTCCCACAGAGAGCCCTTTGTGTCCCCCACACAACAGCCTGTCTGTTCCAAGCCAGCCCTGGCCAAAGAGAAAAACCCCTCCTCGTGGAAAAAAAAAAAATTGAGCGACTTGTTAGGCAGCAGGCTGGCCAGGAGCACGTGCGGGAGCTGCCTGCGGCCAAGTGGGAGGGACAGCTTATGGGTTGGAGGGGGGCGGGGCTGGCTCTCTGCGCTCAGCCCCGTGCTGGGGTCCCTTCCTTGGTGAAAAGTGACCAGTGGTATGCAGATGGCCTCAGGCCTCGATGAGTGGCCTGTTAGTGGCAGATAGGTCAAAGCACCTGAACATGGCAGAAGTCTGTGCCCACTGCTGGCCCGCATGCTCGGCCTTCCCGACAGAAACCAGCAGGAGTAAAATGCTTCTTTCTGAATGGTGAGCATAGCAAAGTTTGTGTTTGGTCACTCTGGGTCCCGGAGTCCTGGCCCTGGGGTCACTCAGCATCTGGTCCTTAGGACAGCCGAGCTGAGGTGCCCAGCAGTCCCAGTGCACCGTGGAGGCCAGCAGCTTCTGACCTTCCCACGGTAGCCCCCTGGAGCTTTGGCTCCCGTCCCCTTCTGTGATGGAGAGCAGCGACTGGCCGGGGTCGCGCCCTTGGCGCTCTCACTTCCCTTCAGCTCTGCTGTCTACCTCTCGTAGCTGGAAAGCGAGATCCAGCGGCTGTCCGAGGCCCACGAGAGCCTGACCAGGGCCTCCTCCAAGCGGGAGGCCCTGGAGAAGACCATGCGGAACAAGATGGACAGCGAAATGAGGAGGCTGCAGGACTTCAACCGGGACCTCAGAGGTGACAGCCAGTTGGGGAGCACCTGTGGAGGGCTTGGTTCATGTTCCCTGGGGGGAAAAATATCAGTGCACCTCGACTCGGAGGAGCCCAGGTCTCGTAGACAGAGGCTTGTCTGTTCTGTACCTTGGGGTCCCTCATGGAGCTCCGACCGCGTGGCCCAGGTCGCTCATCGGGCCCTGAGTGGAACCAGGGGCATCCCAATGAGCTCAGCCCTAGCTTAGACGATGCAGACCCCAGGGAAAACACCGACAAGCAGCTCCCTGTGACTAAAACATCTCTCCTTCGTTGCAAACAGAGAGGCTGGAATCTGCAAACCGCCGTCTGGCGAGCAGGACCCAGGAGGCCCAGGCCGGCAGTCAGGACATGGTGGCCAAGCTGCTTGCTCAGAGTAAGTAAGGGTCCCGCAAAGAGGAAGCCGGGTCGACTTGCAGGCAGTGGCAGCACCGCTGCTGCTCGCGGCAGTGCTGGGGGTGCTGTTTACCAAATGGTACCCACCTGCAGGCCCGGGACTGCATGTGTAGGGGGTTGGGCTGGCTTTCGAGGAAGACAAAGATCAGGTTCTATATTTATTGGGAAGGTGAACAGAGCTGGGGGACAGTGTTTGTGAGAGCTGTGTTGGTCAGCAACAGAGGGGCACCGGGCAGAGGGAGGCGGACAGCCCTGCAGGAGGAAGCTGAGAGTTGGCCAGGGAATTTCAGGTAACAGTAAGTGTGCAGGGAAGGGAGGAGCCTGTGGACCACGAGGCGGCCAGGTGGGGGCACCTGAGACAGTCCAGGTGCTTCACCAACAGGTGCAGTCTGAAGAAGAGCTTCTAGAGGCTTCTCAGAAGGGGAAGTCCAGCACCCCCTGCAAGGCAGATGAGCTCAGTAACTAGTCCCTTCATTCATTCAGTCATTCCTCCATGTGTTCGCTTGCAGATCTGTGCCAAGCACCAGGCAAGTGTTTAGCAGAGGAGTGGGAGCAGCCCCAGGAAGTGGCTGGGAGGTTCAGGGGAGACTGGTGGGCTGTGGAGGGAGCAGGTTCCCAAGGCCTGAAGGGAACAAGAACGCTGATGGGCGGGTGCTGATGAGGGAGTCCCCAGTGGCCTGAGAGCAGCCCTGGTGATGGGCATGGTGAACTGGCCACAAGTGAGGAGGCATTGGGTGCAATGCGGATGGCCCAGCTCGTGGGAAGTTCCAGGGTTTGAGGACAGAGTGGGCTGGCAATGGCTGCTGTCCACCAGGAGAGCTGCTATGTGTGGCACAGACCACAGGGGTCATGTCCAGTGGATAAGCAGCCCGAGAATGGAGCTCTGGACAGGGCCCTCAGAGAGGGTTTCAAGCCCAAAGCAGGGAACGGGACAGGGGAACAGCGCTGAAGCCACTGGGCAGGACAGTGCTGGATGAGGGTGGGCTGGGGCGGCCATGGCTGTGGGGGACTCTGGCAGGGGGACCCCTGGGAGGTTGAGGGGGAGGGAAGGGGCCTAGGAGTCTGGAGAGGTCTGGCTGCTGGGGGAGCTGAGGACTTTGGGGGGCCTGGCCCTGCAGCAGAAAGGAAGTCCTGGGGCGGGTTTCTGGGCGGCTGCTTGGGGAGGGAGGGGGAGCCATCCAGCCGGCCTGGGAGGCGTTTCCGCTCCCTGGGGAGCGAGCCAGCCAGAGCCGGGCTGTTCTTGGCTCCTGGCTGGAGCCATTAATCTGGCAGCTGTGGGTGACCCGGATGCCTGGCATTCCAGAGCCGGCTGTTCCGCTCCCAGCCGCTCCCCCCGCTGCTGCGGCCTGGCGCCCTGCTCTATGCCGCTGCCCAGGCTTTGGGAGGGGACAGGGCGACACAAGGGAGGCTGGGACGCTGGGCAGGGGGGCCTGTGGGCCCTTCTCCCCCTCGCAGGAACCGCACCCCACTGCTAGGCCCTGGCTGCTCTGTCAGGGTCCCGCTGGCTGGGGATGACCAAGGCCCGAGCCTCCCAGCCCCCAGCAGAGCCTTAGAGGTTGTACAGGGCAGCCCTAAGCAGCCATTCCTTGCTGCAGGAGCCACCCCGGAGGGCTGCAGAATTCTCAGTGCAGATGTCTCTGGTCAGCCTCTTTTTTTTTCAAAGATCCTGAGCAAGCCAAGAGCTGGCCTGGGTTGGCTCCTGCCCCAGTCCCCTGAGTCAATGCATCCTCTCTTCCACACGCCAGGGATCCAAGCCATCAGCCTCCCATCCCAGAACTCATCGTCCTAGGCAGGCCCTTGGCCACACGTGGCCCGAAAGCTCAAACTAAGGAGAACCAAGTCCAATCAAAGCTTCAGAGGGTTCCTCCTACCTCCTAGGGTTGCTGTGAGGATGAGAAGCAATTGTGCTCATCCAGTCGGGGAGGTCGCCATCACTGACCCGGCCACGTCTCCCTGCAGGCTACGAGCAGCAGCAGGAGCAGGAGAAGGTGGAGCGGGAGACAGCGCTGCTGCGCAGCGCCGTTGAGGACCAGCGGCGGCGCGCGGAGCTGCTGGAGCAGGCCCTGAGCAACGCGCAGGCGCGGGCGGCCCGCGCCGAGGAGGAGCTGCGCAAGAAGCAGGCATACGTGGAGAAGGTGGAGCGGCTGCAGCAGGCGCTCGGGCAGCTGCAGGCGGCCTGCGAGAAGCGCGAGCAGCTGGAGCTGCGGCTGCGCACGCGCCTGGAGCAGGAACTCAAGGTGTTGCGCGCACAGCAGGTGAGCGGACGCCTGCATGCAGGTAGCAGAGCAAGGGCGGGCATCCGAGGATGCCGGATGCCGGGGTGTGGTGTTCCGGGCCTGGTTCCTGAGGTTTCCGGGAAACCTTTGCTGCATGGTCACTCCCACTCACCAGTGTTAGCCAAGGCTCTGCCACGTGGTCCTAGCCCAGCAGCAGGGAGTGGGAGAAAGACAGCCAGGAGCCTTGATGAGAAAGCTAGCCAGCTCTTACCTGTCTCCCCAAGATCAGGACCTAGGTCTTTCCACCTTCTCCTCTCTTAATAGCTTACAAACCTGATGGCTTTTGCTACCCTCGCTTCCAGCCCTCCCCTTCCCACAGGGCTGGGGTACCCATGCCTCCTGGTTTGCCCAATCCTGTCCCAGTTGACTGTAGTTGGAAGGATTGTGTGTGTGTGTGTGGTCAGTGAGTCCTCTTAGGCTTCCCACCTTGGGGTTCAGGACATAGTCTGGACAGAAGCAGGATATGGGATGGGTGTGGGTAAGGCTGAAAAGCCTGTGAACAAGTGAGAGTCCTCTTGTGGGGGAGAGGACGTGGCTGCCACACCAGCTTCTCCGCCTTCACCATGATGCTCCTTGCCCTGCAGAGACAAGCCAGCACCCCCGGCAGCGGCAGCGGCAGCGGCAGTGGCAGCGGCAGCAGTGGGTCCCCCGAGCTCAGTACCCTGCGGCTGTCTGAGCAACTACGGGAGAAGGAGGAGCAGATCCTGGCGCTGGAGGCCGACATGACCAAGTGGGAGCAGAAATACTTGGAGGAACGTGCCATGAGGCAGTTTGCCATGGACGCCGCCGCCACGGCCGCCGCCCAGCGGGACACCACTCTCATCCGACACTCGCCCCAGCCCTCGCCCAGTAGCAGCTTCAACGAGGGCCTGCTCGCCGGCGGCCACAGGCAGCAGGAGATGGAAAGCAGGTGCAGCATGGCAGGCCAGAGGGTGGCTCCTGAGGTCAGGGGCCGGGCGGGGGGTGCTCACGTCCAGTCCCTGCCCAGTCCTTGGTCCCTGGCCAACAGGGCCCTCTCCCCACATAGCTCGGCCATCCCTCCTGCTTCTGTCTGACCCCATGTGCCAGAACTGTATGCATTCTTTCTCCCAGAAATGCGCATCAGGTCCTAAGTCTCGCCAGGCTGTGGAGGTGTTGGATGCTGTACCAGCTGTAGGCTGCTTCCTTGCCCCTGTGGAGGACTTGCCCTCCAAGGACAGGGGCTGTGTCATCACCAAGGCTGTGTCATCAGATCCTTCTAGAACCACCCCCTGGCCAACCTGCCTCTGCTGGTGTCAGCGGGCCCAGGCCCCCGTGGTCTGGTGGTTTTTTAGCGCCTGGCTCTGAGAACATCAAATTCCAGAGCCGTGATGACAGCTCTAAGTGTCTTGCCTTTTTTTTTTTTTTTTTTTAAAAGAGTGGTGTATTTATTTGAAAGGCAGAGGAGCAGAGAGGGAGAGAAGAGAGAGAGATCTTTCATTTGTTGGTTCACTCCCCAAATGCCTGCAGCAGCCCAGGGCTTGTCCAGGCCAAAGCCAGAAGCCCAGAACTCCATTAGGGTTCCTCGTGTGAGTGGCAGGAGCTCAAGCACTTGAGCTCATGTCCAGTGCCTGCCCAGTCCTTGGTCCCTGGCCAGCAGGCCCCTCCCCCCACGTAGCTCGGCCATCCCTCCTGCTTCTGTCTGACCCCATGTGCCAGAATTGTAAGCCTGGCTGCCTCCCAGGCACATGAGCAGGAAGCTGGATGGGAAGCAGAGTAGTGTGAACTTGAAACCAGCCCTCCACGCAGGACGCTGTGCTGCCACGCATGCCCCACAGCTCTGAGGTGCCCCAGGCTGCTCTGGGCCCCTGCAGGAGGAGGGCGGGTGTGGTTCTGACCGCCGGGCGGGGCTCTCCTGCAGGTTGAAAGTGCTGCACGCTCAGATCCTGGAGAAGGACGCCGTGATCAAGGTGCTGCAGCAGCGCTCCAGGAGAGAACCTGGCAAGGCAGCCCAGGGCGCCCTGCGGCCTGCCAAGTCCGTGCCGTCCATCTTCGCCGCGGCGGCAGGGGCCCAAGGCTGGCAAGGGTTCCCGTCCAGCGAGCGGCAGGCAGATGCCCCTGCCCGGCTGGCTACAGGTGAGTGGAGGTGGGTGGGCGGCACATAGGAGCCAGGGCTGCCCCACCCCTCTCCCAGGGGAGCCGGCTCATGCAGTGGCTCCAGTCACCCCATAGCACACAGCGGTCCTGTCCATGTGACCAGGGCTGCTCAGCCCGGGTTGCTTTTCCATCTAAGGAAAAGTGGAGCTCCCCATGCAGGGGCACCTTCTGGGCAAGCCCCTTCCTCGCCTCCCGTCCAGCAGATGCCACAGAAATTCTGGAAGCTCCAATGTGCAAGGAAGCGCCGCACCCCTCAGAACATTCTGGACGCAGTCCATCCTGATAGTTACTCCCATATGGAAACAGGAAATGTAGTCCTCAGAATTGTCGGAAACCCAGAGCAGGCACATTCGCCCAAGTTCCCCAGTGGGTGCAGCTAACTTGGGGTGTTCCTTGTTGGAGCCACTTCCGGAGGCAAGGCAATAACCATCCTGCCCTTCCAGCAGACAGGGTGCCCGCCGAGGAGCCTGTGGCTGCCACTCCCCTCTCTGCCCACGCCAAACATGGGAGCAAGGACGGGAGCACCCAGACGGATGGCCTCTCGTCGGACAGCACCCCTGCCTGCCTGGCCCCAGAACCCGACAGCCTTCTCGGGTGCGGCAGTGGCCAGAGGGCAGCCTCTCTAGGTAAGACGGCAGGGTTCCGGGTGGGCACTGGACACCCAGGGTAGCTCAGGGGGAGCCCTGCGGGGGGAGGGGGTTCTTGCTCACTTACATGTGAACAGGAAGGGCCAGTTGGGTTGAGTGGAGGAATCCCAAACCCTCATCAGAAACAGCTCCAGAACCCAGAAAGAAAGCACCCAGACAGGAGGCCATTTCTCGGTGGCCTTCCTTCCGTGCTGAATGGCCAGGCTGAGTGTCTTAAGATGGCCGAGCTTGGCGAGTTAACTCTGCTGGCATTCTCCAGTCCCTAAGACTTTTCTTTAAAAAGAATCTGGGAAGGAGAAATCGGAGAAGAGGCCTTTTCTTCCCCCTCCCCCCCACCTCCCTGTTCACATTCGCCTTTGCATATTTGCCTGGGCCTCATGATCCCAGCAAACCACAGGCATGAAAAGAATGCTGTAGCCTTCCTGCCTCGGGCCTCTGCTCGGCTCCCTGCAGCCAGGTCAGAGTTAGAAAGAAACGCGTGGTCCTCTTTGGAGCCTGGTGGTCTGGGAATGGAGGGTAAATTTTAGGGGGTCTTTTCCGATTTCAGTGCCGGGTTGGCTGAGTTAGGGGGACCTGGGCCATACAGGGAGGCAAAGTTAGTGAAGAAAGATGCTGACCTTCAAATGCGCCAGCAATTTAAAGGAGCGGTCATGTGCTTCTTGTCTCTTCCCCAGACTCTGTGGCCACGTCCAGAGTTCAGGACTTGTCCGACATGGTGGAGATACTCATCTGAAGGAGGCGGTGCCTGGGGGACCCTGATCGAGCCCTGCCCCCCACTGCAGGCTCAGCCATTCCCACGGCCCCGCCCACTGATGTTCCCCCTTGCCCCAGCCATCGTCTGTGTGGTCCCTGGAGCTCGAGCAGAGGGGCTGGGGGAGACAGGAGTCGGCCGCTTCGGGGATTCAGCGTCTTCCTTGCTACTGGAGCGGCGATGGAAAGCTCAGAGAGCCGAGCCCCCTCTGCCAGGCCCGGCCATCTGCTGGTTTGGGAAGCTGATTTCAAGATGGCCGCCCACAGACACCCGGTGGACTGGTTTGACAGTCAAGCCGGCGGCATGCTCCTCTGGCTGAGTCTGGCCCCAGCACCCTCCCAGGCTCTCCCGGTCCTCGCTGCTTCCCTGGCATCCCGTGGGTCTTCGGGGGTCTTGAGTGGAAGCCGCAGCATCATCGCTCCCCGCTGGATGGGCCAGAGGCCAGTGTGCAGATTGTGTGTGGTCCCCTTTCCCGTGGAGTAGAGGAGTATATCCACGGGGGTGCTTCCGTGCCACTGTTCCCAAACCCCAGCCGCTGTTCTCCGGTTTTTTCTCCTCCGTGCATGTTTGACACTGGTTGAGCCCACTGCTCAGTGCCCACAAGAGCCCCGCCACCAGCCTCCTGCAGAGCCTCCCCAGCTCCTGTGTCATGGGAGGTTGCAGAGAGCTTGGTCGTAAATGCTGAGCCACACGGAAGGAGCCGCCCACGCGTGAACTTGGGTGGTCTCCCCGGGGCATCAGCTCCCTCTGGGGCAACTGGAACAATTGTCTCGAGCTCATGCGTGTCTGTTCCCAGCGGGCATTGGGAGTGACATTGTTGGCGACTGGTTGAGAGCGACAAGACGTGACTCGAATCGTCCTCTGGACGGAGCCCGTCACCCAAGAGGCTGGCTCCTCAAGCTGCCGCTGCCCGGCGCCCTGAAGCAGGCCAGGCCCTCTGGGCTTCGGGCGCAGCGTCCCTGGTGGGAGCCAGCGAGCAGCATCAGTGACTGACTTCTGTCTTACCAGAGTTCCCGGCTCAGCCCCCCAGAGCAGTGGGTGGGATTAGCGGTTTGGTCTTTACTGTTTTTAGTTCTCCTTGGATCTTTGTTTATTTCCTTTGCTGTTTTTAAGTCCTGTATGTGTTGTATTCCCATGGCTCCCTGAGTTTCCTTTTTAAACATTTGCATTTGCTGGACAATTGCATATTTTTTTAAAAAGTTCCCCATCCCTGTTTAAAGCTGAAAAC